AAAAGACAGGAGCCTAAAAAAGTGGTAGCAGTTTTACACATTAAATCATTAAATGCATAAGTACTACAATCAATATGGCACTCTACCTTCAGAAAGCCCTAAAGCTTGCTTGTGGAGGCTGATGTCCGAAGAGCTGCAGCTTGTGGATTATGTCAGTGGAGGAAGGAGGATTATCCAGAATTGGGGAATTTGATGGCAAGTTATAACCGCACCCGTAGATGGTGCAACTCACCATCTGTGAGCTGAGGTAGCTGGCTTGAGGTGTGCAGACGTGTACGTTCCGTGGACTTCCGTGCAGCTGGCTTTAGCTAAGTGCAGTTTCTGCATTCACCTGGTGCTTCTTGGTGATGAAATTACACATAATCAAACGCAAAATTGGCATTATGCTCAAATTGTTTCCTGATACGTTAATTACATCTGAACAAATTTGCTTGTTTCAAAACAAGCACAAAGCACTAAGCTAATGAACTTATACTTCCCTATATTTCACATTTTTATGCTAACAGCATATGTGTGATGCTTCCTCGCTTTAAAATACCTTTCCTTCTTTTATCCACTTTTTGTCTTTCAAAGGCTGGTGCAAGTGAGGAAGCTTCCCTAAGGTGTGCTCTGAATTGGATTGAATTAACATTTTCTATATTGGCACATTATTGGTCCATTTCCAAAAACTGTCGGTTGTAGATGACCTAAGATACAAGTTAGTAGTAAAGGGGGAATNTGGTTACTATCAGATGCCAGATTGTGAATATAATTTATAACTGGTGTGGATTCTTGCAGTTGAATGCTCTCAATTCTTCTTGAACATTTAAACTGAAAATTGAGGTATATGCCTCCCTGGTAAATGATAGTGATGAAACATTTCCTGCTTTGTAAGTAGAATCGAAAATCACCACAATTAGTTTCTTTTCCCTTTTTATAAAATGCGTTTCGTTCCCCCTTGAGACACATTGGTTTCCCAGTTATGAATTCAGCTTCTTTTGTTTGTTCTAGCCACTTCGTTTTTCTTATTACACACCTGTTTAATTTTTAATTTCTCATTAAAAGTAAATATTGCTAATTTTCCTATTAATATTTCAAGAAGTCTTCCATTTCTCTCTGTCACAACCTTGATTTAGAGCTGTCTGGTGTGTATTACTACATAATTAAAATGCCATTGAAAAAAATCAAATAGTTCTGGCAAAGCAGCCTATTAATACATTTTAAAGGGACCAGAGGTTTATTCCTGTAAAGTTGAGATAAATGTTATAAACACTGTTCTGGAACTAAAAATGGCAAGTGGAATAATACATATGGTGCCGTGGGGAAGGTTGCTACAATTGCAGGAAAAAGACTCAGAGCTGATCATCTCATAGGTGTTCAAACCTTTTCAGTCAGTCTCGGTTATTGTGTAATGTGTTAAAAATACTAATCTTGAGTCACTGGGCAAAAGTTGTAAGTACTGACTAGATGCCAGCCGCTGTGCTAAGCTCTGGGTATTCAGTGGTGATCAAACACGATAAGAGAAGTCTGCCCTCGGCCACTTATGCTGTTATCATGGATTTTTGTTACCTTGTTACAGGCGGCACCCTTCACCTTGGGTGACTGACTTGATAACCTACTCGGGGGGACACTGGGCTGTGCATAGAGCTGGTATGAAATAGTGCCGATTTATCTTTGCAGCTTAAAACTCAAACTTAGGTTCTGCCTACACCAAATTCTAGTGGCCTTGACGAGAGCGGAGCCCAACATACCAGCATGTTATGCACTTCTCACACTGACTATGGTTATATCTGCCTTCGTGTGAAGCATACATGTGTTGAGAAGATGAACCACATCATTTTATTCATCTTTTGATTTTCAGCAGCCAATATTTTTATTTCGTTCAACAAATAGAAATGAGCCACTTAGGTGCTGGGATTGTAAGTGTTTCGTTCTTCGCTGCACCTCTAGCACCTGACACAAGGACTGGCGTGTATTTGGGACTTGATATTTATTAAATAAATGAGTGATAGAAGGAATGGCTGAGTAGTCATCTGTGAGGAGGGACAGTTCAGTTTTCAGAAACCAAGAGATCAGGCAGACTATACCGGGGTGCCAAAAAAATGTAGACAAGTGGACACTTCGATCAACGTTGCTCAAGCAGTAGTTCGCCGTCATCAGAAGTGTCTGGATGCTGACGGTAACCACTTTGAGCACCTCTTGTCATCGCAGGAGTCAAACGTGACTTGTGTTCATCTTTTGTTATCAGTATATATGGAGTATTACAATTTTAATGGTTTTTTCCTTTCTTAAAATGTGGATACGTTTTTTTTGGTGCTCTCTCTATACTTCCTATAAGATTATGCCCTGAAACCTACTGAGAAATCCAGGCTGAAAAAGACACATTTAGGAATCATCCTGATAAAAAGAAGTATAAAAACTGTGAGAGTGAAGTTCTGTGAGCATGTGCAAAAGAGAGTCAGGGTGGACGAAAAGCGAAAAGCAGAGTGTGTGTGGGGGTGTTGGAAGGAGGGGTGAAGCAGTATGAAGCAGAGGGGTGAAGCAGAACAGGAAGGCAGTATGTCCCAGGGAAGTGGTGCAACACGCTGAGAGGAGACAAGGGAGGGGAACGGAAAGGGACCTTTGGTTTCGAGCGATGACGTAAAGCAGTTGTGATGTGAATGAACCTGGTTGCACAGTGTGAGAAAAAATTGGGGAAACTCGACTACCTTTTTGTTTATTCTCCTCATCACTAATGATTCCAATCGAGGCGGAACTTTTTCTTACGAAGCGAGGACCTAATTTGTTTTGATTTTCTGCTGTTTGTGTGCTGGCCTCCACAGGGCACTGTTTGTGCTGACACTGAAGGGTTTCTTTGTGATTTCTGGTATGCTGGTTGCTTGGTGATCAAAGCCATGGTTTTTCATTGCTCCTGTTACAGATAATGATGTTTGATATATAGGATTATATAGGAGAATCGCAAGAAAGTCACAGTAGTTGGAGAAGAATGTTGTCTTGAAGGCCAATGTGAAAAATATAGACCAGTTTTCCAAAATTATTTGGGAGCTTTGCAGTTGAAATTTCATGAAATTCTCTATCTCACGAGACTGCTAAAGAGCTCTAATAATAAATCGGTGGCAATAAAGAAACTTGGGTTGTGTTAATAATGGAGACACACACACACACACGATTTTTTTCTTGGTCATTTCTTCTTGGGGTGATGATAAGAATCCATATGGGCGAATGGGGAGTACATTTGAGGCTAATTAGGATGCTACCATTTGCAAATGATTGTTCACATAAGTGAGGTTACTTTATAGTAATGAAAACAGTAGCTGCCTTTGACTCAGCACCGGCTTTGTCCCAGACATGTCACCGTCGTCCTGGAAGGAGGCATTCCCAATTTAATCTGACGATTGAACTGCAGAGTCTAAGTAATTTGCCCGAGGTCGCAGGGCTAGTAAGTAGGAGAACCCCGCCTTTGTTTTACTCCAAAGCCCATGGACTTCCCAGCGTGCCCTCTGAATGAGAACCTTTAGGGTACCAGAGCGCTACCTGTTTGGGTGGACGCCAAGAAAGCCCCACAGAGGAAACAAGCACTGGACGAGCACCTTTTCAGCATCCTGTCTCCTAATCTGCCTCCTGACCCGTATCTGCACCTGACATTTATGTCATAACGTAAATTGATGTTATGACATAAATGTCATGTTATGACGGACAAGGCTTTTCCCTTTAAGGACTCGATTCCTTTTAACTCTTGCATCTTTAGTCTGTGTCTTTACTAGTTTCTTCCCATGAGCAGCAACCAGCCCATCACCAAAGCAAGTACCTTAGGTGGCGGTTAGTATTTGCTGTCTAACAAACCACTCCAAAACTTGGTGAAGTCAAGTATCATTTATTTGGCTCACTGTCCAGTGGGTCAGCCAATTAGTCTGGGCTCAGCTGGACTCACCTGTGCATCTGTGGTCAGCTGCTGGTCCCGTTGACAGTTTGCTTTTGGGGCACTAGCTGGCGAGTGCCCAGGGCCGTCAGGGTGACGGCTACCCTGGACTTGTCCACATGGCTGCTTGGGAGGGTTTGAAGAGAGAGCACAAGCCTGCACATCACCCTGAGGCCTAGATTCAGACTTCATAGAGCATTCTTTCTTATGCCTCTTATACATCAAACAAGTCCCAAGGCCAGCCCAAGTTCAGGGAGTGGAGAACCAGACTGCCGAACCCTAGAACTCTTCTTTGTCACCAACTCGAGTTCACCCTTGAAGACCAGAGTCATGTCACCACTCAGGCTGAATCCGGTGCCTGGGGACCGGGTACCCTCTGTCACTGTGTTTTGAACGTTGTGTGGCAGTTGTTGGTTTATATCTTAGTGGAAAATGAGTTCCTTAAAAGCAGGGACTGTGTTTTAATGCAGGATTGGCACATAGGAGGTAACTTAAAAGCTGAGGTTCTTGTGAAAATAAGGTATTCCTGCAGTTGATACCTAGCAACATGGAATAGAAGATAATGTATGCTTGTATTTTAAAACGTGCTTAATGATGTTTAAAAACTTTGGAGCAAACTATGTAATATATCACAACTGAGTATTTCTTTGAAAATATGAAGGAGGTAAAGAATCCTGACCAACGTTCTTGGCAGAAATCATTATTAAATATTTATGCACTATCTTTGTAGGTTGTTTATTAGGTTACAAGCTTCCTTACAAGGAAGACCAGTCATATTTCCATGGCATATTTGTCAGAGAAAGCACACCCGTCTTTTAACTGGTCCATTGGGATTGGGGATAAAACTTCTATTTTAGAATGTAATATGAAGGAAGGGTCTCAGCCAGTGTCCTGGATGTTATTCTGGAAGACCCTGAAAATAGATGTTTCTGGTAGATGAGAGGTGGGATGTACATCATGGAGTCTCACCTTTAAGTGCGTGTCTTATCCATGTATTCACTTTTAACTGGTGGATTTTCTTGCGTATTTTATTTTACGTTTTAGGTTCAGCTGTCGGTATACCTCCCTGGATTCCTAAAACCTGAGCACGTTTCCCCATCACTGGGTTGATATCAGACCATGCAGCGGAGATCAAGAGGCGTTAACACGGGGCTGCTGCTGCTGCTGTCTCAGATCTTCCAGGTTGGCATCAACAATATCCCGCCTGTCACCCTCGCGACTCTGGCTGTCAACATCTGGTTCTTCCTGAGTCCTCTGAAGTCGCTGCAGAGCTCCTGCATCAGCGTGGAGAAGTGTTACCAGCAGAAGGACTGGCAGCGCTTACTGCTGTCCCCCATTCACCATGCAGACGACTGGCATTTGTACTTCAATATGGTGTCTATGCTGTGGAAAGGAATAAACCTCGAAAGAAGACTAGGAAGCAGATGGTTTGCCTACGTCGTCACCACATTCTCCCTGCTCACTGGGGTGGTGTACCTGTTCTTGGAACTTGCTGTTGCAGAATTTCTGGGTGAACCTGGCTTCCGAAGGAATTGTGCTGTAGGTTTCTCGGGTAAGGCAGACAGACTCCTGAGGTAGCATGCATGCATAGATGGTACAAGAGGCGTGGCTGCTATCTTTTTACAAAGCGTGGGTCTCTAGTTGGTGAGGGAGCTGAGTTCTGAGTGCTTCAGGGCTGCTGGGCATTGCATTTTGGAGGGAGGATGCTGAGTGGAGCCCAGGCGGGAAATAGGTTTTGCTATTTGTCCATTTACTCTTGGACAGGTTGGACCGCGGCCTGCCCACAGGTAGTTTTGTAGGAGATGCATGCAGTACTGGAACTAGACACTGGCTCCATCATGGTGGGGCCAGGGAAAAACCCACAGGTGTATTTGTGATACGGAGCTCTAAAAAGATGAGTATGCCTCGTAATAACTGCATTAAAAGAAATGCATCACACCCTACCATGGCACGCTCATCGTGTTTGAGGAGCCATCGTAGTCACTCTGCATAACTCATGCTGTTTAATTCATGTAACAGGGTCCTAGGGAGCTGGCATCATCTTAGGTTTGTAGGTGAGGAAGCCAGGACTCAGAGAAGTGAGGAAACTTGCTCAGGGTTGCACAGCCAGTAAGGGGTGCAGCTGGGATCTGAAGCCACTCTGCGTGACTTGAACCTGGTGTTGCATTGCCTCTCACTTGCCCCCCTTACTAGTTCTTCTATTTTACACATATGTTCTAGGACTGCAATTCCCATCAGGGCTTAAATTAGGTGTTCTAAAAATCAGAAAGGGAAGGGGAAACAGAGGGAAATCTCACCCTTCCCTCGACTTTCCTGCCATGCTGCCCCTTCCCTCTCAGATGCGTCCTCGTGCATCTGATAGTGGGGGAGGAAAGAAAACGTGTTCCGCCTTCACATGTCTTTCCATAGAGGTTAGAAAAATACACCTTAGTTATGTACGTTTTTTTAATTGAGTTAAAATTCCCGTGGCATAAATGAATGATTTTGAAGTGTACGATTCAGTGGCATTTAGTTCCACTGCTGGTGTTTTATCCACATATATGTGACATGTATGTAGTAGCATACAGAAAGTCAGCAGGAACTTCTGTGTTAGGAAACATCAGATACCATCTTTGTACTGCAAGCTGGGTTGACTTACAAGGAATAGAGCATGTTTCAAAGCAAAAAAAATTGGATGTAACCGAATAATCATTTTCACTTTCAACTAGTTTTCTTTGCAGATGTTGATTATCTCCACATTTGGATTGTTGATATTTGTTCGCTCTTGCTTCTTTTTTTAGGAGTTTTGTTTGCTTTGAAAGTTCTTAACAACCACTATTGCCCCGGAGGCGTTGTCAATGTTATGGGTTTTCCGGTACCCAACAGATTTGCTTGTTGGGCAGAACTTGTGGCTATTCACTTCATCTCATCAGGGTAAGTGTTTACTCTTAGAGAATACAAATGAAGAACCTCATGTTCTGTGGAGAAGGAATTGCAATAACAATGAGGTAACCAATTTTTATTTACAGTGAAATTTATTCTGTAATCAGAAGGACAGAATTGAGCTTAATGGTTTTAATGTCAGACATTCCTGAGTTTGAATCCTGTCGCCTACTGAGCTGTATGATTTTGGGGTGCTTGTCTTATCTGAGCTTCAGTTTTCTCACCTTTTAAGTAGGAGTAAGAAAGAGAACCTGATATTACAGACTTGAGGATCGATAATAACCAGCCTATCAATTAATCAATTCTAACAACAATAACCCAAAGAGACACATAGAAACCACGTAATTATAAAGATAAAAAGGTATTTTGGTCCAGTGCTTTTGAACCATTTTAGTTGTGAATTGTCTTGGTAATAGAACTCTAAACAAAAGGCTTTATTCACAACCTCGACATATAAAATGGATCGCCTCCAAACTGTTTTGGGTTGAGACAAAGCATCGGGCCCCATTCCCTTCACCACATCCCCGTGTCACTGCGGCTGCCTCAGAACCCGAGGGCTCCAAGGAGCACAGTTTGAGAACCGCTGATGTCTGAATCCTTGACAGATGAGGACAAGGAGATTCAGGAAGTTAAGGGACTCATCAAACAGCTGCTGGTAGGTACCAGACCCGCTTGGATTCAGGCCCCCTGACTCCTGGTCTGGCGCCCCCGCCTGGGTGCTGTGCTTTTCCACTTTGGTTCCTTTCTCTGCTTTCTGTTCAGAAAAAGGAGGGTGGATTGTGTTATCTTCCCACCTCTTCCACCAGCTTCACTTCTTTTCATCTGTATAAGGCAACTGGAAGCCCCAGGTTGGTTGGTTTATTTTTACTGTGGGGACCTGGACACTGAAGAAGAGGGAGATTCAGGAAGATTCACGAGGAAGCAAGGATGATTTTCTCACTGCCGTTCCTTTCAGACAGGAGTTTTTATTTTGCTTTCGGTTTGTGTGGCTGTTGAGTGTTGTACTTCACTTGTGAATGTTCTCTTAAGGCTGTGTGTCAGCCCAGTAACCTTGAGACCTTCTTTAATGCTAATTTCCCATCCTGGGCAGCCATTGCCAGCTGGTCTATGAAAGGCTGTGATATGGCCACTGAACGCCACTCATTTGCAACTGTATTGTTATTTTGTGACAGTTCCAGGAACAAAGCCTAACAAAATCTTCAAAGTTTGTTTTGAAAAAGGGTCCCCTAATGTCTGTTCCTTATCTGAACAGTCCTCTATACCTTGTCACTCACAGCTCTCTGACCGGCTTCTCAGTGTGGAGGAGACACTCTTGTATGTGACAGCAGCACCCAACATTCATATGAAAATCATTCCCCCTGGTACTTGAACTTTTATTCCATAATGAATCCTTTGAATAGCAGTGCCTTTAATATTATCATGCATGTATTTCTGAAGACTCTCATCATGCATCTTATTATTTTTAGGGTTCTCCCCCACCGCTTACATGCAAAAGGCATGGTTGTATTTTTATGCAATATGCTTATCCTGCCTGGAAGGACCTGGGAATTAAATAAATTCCTTATCTTTGAAGTTTGAAAGAATACATCTTTTGGTTTTTAAGATTTGACTACTTTGAATAAAAAGCTTCTGCTATCCAACCATCTATTTATGCCCGTGTCCAAATAAAGACTGAGCTAAACACTGGCTCAGGAAACCTAAGAAGCAAGTGCTTCTTTGAGATGGATCTTGGAAGAATGGGAGAAACCAGAGCTCTCTTTGCTCTGCATTGTTACACTCCTGGTGGTTGTCAATTAGAATTTTCATTGGGAAAACACTGTAAATCTTCAAAACAAAGCCTGCTTTATTGTCGGACTTAATGAGCTGCCCTTTGGGAGGGGGGGAGAAAAATCTGCCAAGCAAACATTTGGTGGCCCTCCGTGTTTTACGAAAGCCGTGGAATTAGTAATTTCCCCTGGTTACGGAATGTTATGGCGGGAAGCCTCTCCAGACAGCCAGCCGCTAGGCATTGTGCGGGGTGTGCACTTGACCTTCATGGTGAAGTAGTCACACCCCTTTCCTGGTGCTCTTGCTTTTCACAGTACTTGTTTCAGTGATCGCTTTGCCTCACATGGTCTTTTCATTTCTCTGCGTGTCCTGGAACCCTGGGAGGTGACTGGGCCTGAAGAGGTGTCCCTGTGCCTCAGGTGGCCCCGGAGCGAGGTGTGCAGGCTGCTTCAGGAGGCGGCCTCCCCACAGACTTAGCCCCTGCCCCTTGCCACCTCCCACCCCTGCCACCTGGGGTTGGCGGAAAGAGGGGAGTCCTGATGCCACCTGTGACTTCCTAGTCTCAATTCCTAGCCCCGGTGCTGAACCTCTGCGGTTTCTCTTAGGAGCCTAAGGCCATCGAGTCTAAAAACTGAAGCTCAGACAGATGAACGTTACCCAGAGTGAGACAGCCACCGCACCAGAAAACTGTGGTTTTAAGTGTGAAAGGACCTGGGCTCGCATCCCAGTGGTAGGCCCTCGGGCAAATTATACGGCCTCTTCTGAGCCTCATTGTCCTTACCTGTGAGATGGGGATATTGCTTACTTTCCTGTTTCATGTCAGTTTTAAGGAGTCAAAGAAGTGATCCGTATGAAAGTGCTTTATACACGATGCAGTACTTAACTCATCATTTTTAGTATGAGATAAGTCACTGAAAGTGTGCAATGTTTCTAAGAGGAATCATGCCTGCTTTCTTTTTCTGCCTCAAAATAATAACATTTTTTTATTTGAGTTCTGTCTCTTACCATCCCTTGTTCCTACTTGACTTTTCCATCCTGAATGACAGTCAGCAGTCTGAAAAGTCCTGTGAGCTACTCTTCCGCACAAATTAAGGAGGCCATGACTGATTTGGAACTCGAGACGACCGTTTGGTCCAACATGGCAGTTCCGAAAACCTTAGCCTCTTGGCTTTGGGTCCTGCTTCACTGCCCATGCTTGAGGAGAGTAATTACTTTGATCCTACTAAAAACCACTTGGTTAGATTGACCAAATGAGAGAAAAATAGATTTAATATGGTTTTTTTTTTGGCTTTTTCCAATTTTTTAATTGTAAACGTTTTCAAACATAAAGTTGCTGAACTATTTGAAAGTAAGTTGCAAACACCATGATAACTTCACCCCTAAAATCTTCATCTTACAGCTCTAAAAAATAAAGCTATTCTTTTGCATAACCACATTACTGTTGTCATACTGAAGAAAATTAGTAGTAATTCCAGTGTTGCCAAGTAATTAATTGGTCCACATTCAAATCTCCCAGTTTTCAAAATGCCTCTTGTAACTTTTTTTCAGGGGGTGGGGTGTGAGGTAGGGCCAGGATGGAGTCAGGGTTCACACCTTGCATTTGATTATTATATTTCTGTTCTCTCCTTTACTCTTTTACTAAGGCAGCCCTCCCACCTTTTTACCTTTCCATGGAAAACTTTTAAAGAGACCAGGTCTCTTGTCTTGTAGAATGTCCCACGTTCTAGATGTGCCTGCTGGTTTCCTTGTAAGATGATTTAACTTGTTCCTCTGATCCCTGCATTTCTGGAAACTGGAAGCTAGGTCTAAAGGCTCACGCTGGGTGTTTTGGGCAAGAATACTTCATGGCGTGATACCATAGACTCCATATTGCGTCACATCAGGAAGGCCGTAATACCAGATTGTCACAGTTCGGACTTGTGAGTTGAATCACTTGACTAAGGTAATCTCCATCGTGAGGGTGCAGCTACCCTTTTGTAATTAGCAGGTAACCTGTGGGGTTGATATTTGGACATCATGCTGACAGCTTGTTCTCAGCCACCTTTGTCCTAATGGTTTGGTATGTGTCTCATGATCCTTATCTGAATTGGTTATTTCATGGTGAGTTGTGAAAGATGATTTTCTGATTCTGTAGTTCTTTCTGCATTTACGACATGGGGTTAATCCAGGGTTGGAGGTTAATAGCCAAAGGGAAGGAATTGAGCAAGGTGAGTGTTCTATCAAAGGCAGAACTTAGTTTTGAGGGCTTGAAGCTTATTCAATTTTGTGGTTCCTCCTTAAGAAAGAAATACAGAATTAGAAACAGAAGTAAACATTTTAAATGAGAAAAGAAAGCACAACAATTTACACATTTTAAAGAGGTGACCCATACTATAAACATTACAGAAGCCATAAAAATAATGTTAACTCCCTGGCATGCCTCTGTAATATTTCCACAGATTTTGCTGCATACTGTTTGATCTTTTCTTCATGTGACAATAATTTGGCAATAGCGTTTCTGTAGAGAGAACAGCATGGTGCGTCAAAGTCAATTTTTTATTATTGAGAGTTTAGAAAAGCTTTCACAACCCATTGTGTAAAGTTTTAGAATTGTCAGATTTGGCGAAATTTCTATTAAGCTATTTTTACATATGAACTGTCAAATTTAAGGACTTTCCAAGTTTTCTTAACAATTTTCAAGTTTCTTGACTGTTCTTTGAATCGAGTTGAGCGTCAGCAATGGTCTTGAGTGGCATAGTACGAGATGTATATTTTCTTCACGGATACCAATACTCCGTGCTGTGTCAACAAGGAATGTTACTAATATTCTTATGATTCACCCTTCATTAATTGGATTACCAGAAACCCAGGAACTTATTCATTACTTCCATTTATAGCTTTTGATATGATTTGAAAATACTTTTATTTGAGAGCTACAAACACAGGAATTCTGATAAAGTGTATTTTGCATGATTCTCAAAAAAGAAAAGGAAAGTGAATGGTGCATATATATAATTTCATGTCTACGTTATCTAGTCTATTCCTGATGGAGAATTTCTGTTTTAACTATGTGTTAATTATTAGGAACTGAATCTTCCACTTATAGTTTACCTGCTCGGCGATTAGAAGAATTTTCCAGACTCTGGGTTCTGACTCCAGCATGCTGACTGTCCTGCCAGTGCTGGCTGCCTTAGGACTCTTGACAGGGCAGGTGGAGTCCACACCTGTGCTGCCTGTTAAAATTC